AAGGAAGGAAGGAAGGAAGGAAGGAAGGAAGGAAGGGAGGGACGGACGGACGAAGGGAGGGAGGGAAGGGAAAGGAGGCCAGTATTTTAAAAAAACATAACTGGAAACCAAGGTCAGCCCTCTGGATAACATAGTTTGATAAACAATTGAGAAAGGATGATGAAAGTGATATTTCAGCCTGGTATATGCTGATGCCACTTGAGCACTTTCAGCTTTGTATAATAAAGTGTGTCTGCTGGATGCAGCTATGAGGGTTTTCCTCTATAAGCACATTATGCTTATTCAAATCGCTCAAATGCTTCAATTTACAATCACTGTTTATCAACTACGAATCAGTAAGGATTGGACAGTGTCCCTTCAAATTCAAAACACAGGCCTGCTTGCAATATTCTCCATTCTCACTAGCTGACAGTAATTATTCTGCAGCATCAGACCAGCAGAGGACAAGTCTACCCTCTTATATCAAGAATCAAAAACCATGTATAGGCAGATAGGTGGCAATTTCTCTGTGTGCCATCTATGTCTAAAGGTACTACTACCTGCCTGCCTACCAGGCACTATAACCTTGCAATCCCTTTAAAATCCAATAGGATATTTCCTTACCCTAAACAATTTTTGCCTGGAGACACAGGGCAGGGCATATGTGGCTCAGAGTGTGTAAGTTACACCCACTTTACAAATTGGGACTGGAATCCATGAGATCCTGGGTTCCAGGCCCCCACTCAGCTTCTAAAGACTTAACTATGAGACCTCGGCCAAGTCACTTCACTTGTCGGGTCCTCACTCACTTCCTTAGAAATGCTGTAAGGGAAAAGGAAGCCATTTCTTAGTCTCTTCTAGCTCAAAAGACTTACCTTATAGTGATGACAGTAATTCCTCAGAAATCTGTGCCCCAGGGCGCAGGCATGTGTGCTTGGGTATGTGTGTGCATGTGCCTGTGCTTGCATGTGTGTGCCCCCGTGTGTGTGTATCCCACATGCCCACCCTGGTGCCTACTGGACTTAGCTGAGGAAATGCAAGCTGTTTTGTGAAAACATAACTTAATATTTGACTGCCCTTAAGGGAAACACGAATCTCCCAATTCAGTAAAAAATATTATGTGAATTATTAGTTAGGTTTAACATTAATGCTACTGGTCTCCATTAATACAGAACACTGTGGTTCAGCTTTCTGGAATATATTTTTTCCATTAAAAGAATATTATTGGCTGGGCGCGGTGGTCAGGAGTTTAAGACCAGCCTGGCCAACATGGTGAGACCCCGTCTCTACTAAAAATACAAAAATTAGCTGGGCATGGTGGCGCGCACCTGTAATCCCAGCTGCTCAGGAGGCTAAGGCAAAAGAATCACTTGAGCCCAGGAGGTGGAGGTTGTAGCGTGCCGAGATCATGCCACTGCACTCCAGCCTGGGTGACAGAGCAAGACTTCGTCTCAAAAACAAACAAACAAACAAAAAACAATATTATTAAAAGGAAGTGTCCAGCCCAGGCCATAAGCCCATAAAATAGAGATAAAATAGAGATATGCCTAAACTATCCTTCCTATCTCCCCTACCTGGCCACATTACCCCACCCTCCTCCATGTTAATAATCTAGCATGTGTACAGATTTTACATATGATTGTATTTTCTGTAAATTATTACTATACACATATGTCTACTTGTATATATATATATACACTCACAGGATGTGATTTTTTTTAAAAAAATCATAAAAGATATATTTTCCCTGCCTCTTCCTTTTCTCTCTCAATAAATACTTCATAGAAACCTCTTCATGTCCATTGGAATAGCTCTAATTCATTTCACTTTACTGGCTACATAACATTCCATTATGTGGCTGTACTCATTTCTATATTCATGGGCATTCATTCTATTTCTAGTTTTTTGCTCACACAAACAATGCTGCAGTAAACATCTATGAACATATATCTTTAAAAACAATTGCTTTTATTTCAGCAGAAAAAAGTCCCATGAGTAAAGTTTCTAAGTTGAAAGGCATTTCTATCTTTTTATTTTAATAGATTATGACAGATTCAACTGTCATTTCAAATGAGGTATCTCTGAAACCAAAGAACTAAACTATCTTTGTTTCTTCCTTTGGAGGGGTGGTATTTTGTTTGTATATGGTAGCAACAAACTATAGAAAACATAATTTTAAAAGTATGTACAAAATGTATATGACAAATGAGAAACATCAATAATCTCAAAATATATATGAGAAAGGTCTTTAAGTCCTCAGTGGGGAGAAATACAAAGTTTACTGCACAATATTAAATGAATAGCCAAGTAAGCCAAGGTATATATCAAGTCTATGGATTGAAGACAAACTAAGAATGTCATTTCCATTTAAATTGTTTTAGAGACTCAGCACATATTCAAGTTAAATCCCAATAGGACTCTTGTAAGCCACTGCTGTTTATAATGCTTTGAGAAACTACATTCCAGCTCCAGGCTGGAGCTGTATTTGCAACTTTTCATTCCTGAACCCCACAACAAAGGCACACACCTACTTTCATTAAGCTTCTCCCTCTCTTCAAGCCCGATGAAGCCTTGAGGCACTTGGGGAACCCTGTGAGTGGTGATGGGGAGAAAGGCAAATAGAGGAAGTAGGGCTGGATGATTAGAAGCCTCTAGAATGGTAATGGGAACAGAGGTGCTGCAGTTGGGAATAAATTTTTTAAGAGCTTAAGACTTAAGGAACGATGCTTACATTTCATCTGAAGCAGAGGTAGAATTCATGGATGGGCAAAGGGGTTGGGAAAAGAAGAAGAGAAGGAGGCAGAGTATTCAATGCTTCCACCTCCCTCAGAGGCAGCAGTAGCTGGAGCTCCATCAGAAAGGAGTAAAGAAGGTCCCTTAACAATGTCCTTTCATGGATCCCATTATGCCACAACGCTATTACATGTTTAACAGTCTTGGACCTGTGCGTACTCACTCACACAACACCAAAGTCTCCCAGAAGGCACTCACTCAGTTATGACAAGAGTCAATGAGTGAATGAATGAATGGAGACTGGAAGCAGGAGATGACCTTGCTTGAAGATGACTGTGTAAGCCTAAACAGATTTTTCATCGCCTGTGCTTCCTAAAAAAGTACAGCAGCAACAAAAATCAACTCCATCAGCATTATTTCCATCCAGCACAAGATGGAACTTGCCCTGAATTAACAGGTAAGAACTTATTTTCCAACATCAAACAATCCCTATATTATTATAATGAGATTTATTACAATTTTTGTTATACTCACTTATAACCCATTTCTTGCAGCTTACAGGAAAAAGCAGAGGGCTTTCCTTTTTTCTGATACTGCAAAGAAAGACTCTGAGATACCCCAGGGGAGAGTCATTGTTACCCATCATAAATGGTTAATGTGCTTTCACTTTCCAATGTAAAAATCAAACCGTTAAAATCAGAAGCTTATAATTCTACTGCCCTATTTCCCTTTGCTAATCCATTAACATGTGTTACAGCAAAAATGTTCTGAATCATGTATCAAAAGCTGCTGCATATAAACACAGAGATTAAAAAAGAGCCATGTTGTAAATGCCCCATGTTACTTAGTAAATAAGCAGAAAATAATTTGTCAAACTTCTCAACAACCTACACTGCCCTATAGCTCTTACGCTGGCAATTTAAAAAAAAAAATGTATGTGTATATGTGTGTGTGTGTTTCTTCCCTATCTGTCTAGCATAGCTCATTAAAATAAAAAATAAAAAACAAATTGAGAAACTAGGCAACTGAATATTTCTTTTTTTTTTTTTTTTTTTTTTTTTTTGAGACAGAGTTTCACTCTTGTTACCCAGGCTGGAGTGCAATGGCGTGATCTCGGTTCACGGCAACCTCCGCCTCCTAGGTTCAGGCAATTCTCCTGCCTCAGCCTCCTGAGTAGCTGGGATTACAGGCACGCACCACCATGCCCAGCTAATTTTTTGTAGTTTTAGTAGAGACGGGGTTTTACCGTGTTGACCAGGATGGTCTCGATCTCTTGACCTCGTGATCCACCCGCCTCGGCCTCCCAAAGTGCTGGGATTACAGGCCTGAGCCACCGCGCCCGGCCGAATATTTCTAATGAAAACATGATAATAACTATAATGTCCTACAAAAATACTAGCCTATTCACTTTACGTTGATTAAATATTACCTCAACATTTAAAAACCACTGATAGAGGTTCCCGTGTATGCCAGGTCTGGTGCTTGGGTCCAGCCAGTATGCACTCTCCAATATACACTCGAGTTACACCTTCACAAAATCAGTCTTGAAGAAGTATCCCACCCATTTTACAGTTGAGTAACTAAGGCCGAGAGGCACAGAACTTATAAATGTGACTCTGCTGATATGCAAAATGAAGGACCAAAGAAACCAATAAACTCATCCCAAAAATTATATTTTAAATATCCCTTAAACACTAAAGTAGTATTTGATTAGTATAATAAAAAATATGTACTATCATTTAACTGGTAGTAACCATAATCTTTATGTTTGTTTTTTTCTTCGATCCATTGATTTTTCATTATGTTTAGTCCCTGCAATTTTTTTTTTTAAAGTTTACCCTCAAGTTTACCAATGTCTGTCTCTATATGAAAGTGAATCTTGGAAGAATCATAGACTCAGAGATGATCAAGAATTCTGATCAGATAGTGTATAAATGTAAACTTTCCATAACATGAAGTTAAAAAAAAAAAAAAAATCTGTCGCATACATAAATTCAAACCATGTGACACAAGGCTTTTTTTTCCTAAAGCACCAAGAGAGTTATGGTGTCTAATGCCATCCTCTTAAAATTGTATTTAGTTAATTGTTCTATAAATGCAGTATCTCTTGCTTCTGTTGTCACTTTGCAAATTCTGAGGCCAACCTCAGGAATAAGTCTTTTACAAAAAGTAGGAATAACTAACAGTTACAAAGTTGCATATAGACCTGGGTTTGGAGGGTATGGGGAAGTATGGGAAAAAGACATATAGCAGAGAACTTGTCAGTTCCAAATCACTAATTTCTTTCTCTGCTCTGGTATGCTCAGATTTGGAGACAAGGGCATACCCAGCCAGCAGACCAGGAGTATTAACCTTCACCTTCTGGTTGAAGGCCTTTTATTTTATATATATATAATTTATTTTTTGGTACTTCATCAAATACAACTGTGGCTTGACGGATATCTAACTGTATTTACCTCTGAAATGATTCACAACAGTAAACTGATTTCAGCCTTTGATTTGAGAAGACAAAAAAAGCTATGTTTGAGAAGACAACAGAGTATGATTTTATAAAGAGCAAACTCCTTAAAATATATGCAAGATTATTACTGGCCCATAGTATTTAGAGAAATGAAATGCATCTACCATTTGGCTGGATTTAGTCAGGCAAGCACAGTAAGTAGCATAATGGGTCTAATTCCTATCCTGTCTGGAATATCCATCCTTCTGGAGTTTCCCAGAACACTCAAAGAGGCCAGTGGCAGAGCCCACAGGCAGGGCCACCAGGGTGGGATTTTTTTTCTATATGAGGCACAAATTGTGGCCTTTGCTCACCACAGCACAGCATGTACCTCAATAAGATCATTCAATATGAAAGTATTTCAAAAGGAAAGCAAACTGGCACTGGATGAGGTATACAACTTCAGGCAAGTCTCAAGGAACCTAATGTTCTTAGTGTTTTTATTCAAACAATTACTTTGGGTTCAATGAGTTCTTCGAATCCTTTTTTTTCAATTTGGTCTTGAATTGGGGTATGTGTGGAACTGTAAAAGCAGTTCTTACCATTCAGGACATGCACTGATTACAGATCTTATGAAAACTTAAAACTACCAGCATTGCCAGACTTTCAGATTTACATAGTGAGTTCATAGAAAGGTTATTTACAGCCTGGTGTGGTGGCTCACATCTATAATCCCCACACTTTGGGAGGCTGAGGCAGGAGGATCACTTGGAGATGGAAAATAGCCTGGGCAACATGGGGAAATCCTGTCCCTTAAAAATAAAAAACAAATTTTTTTAAAAAGATATATAAAGAAAGGTTATTTACTTTGCTGTGCTCATCTTCCACATACATTCCACAAGGATGTGTTTCCAAGTCTCTCCACACTCAGCAAACTTCAAGGGTTTGGATGCCTTGGAAGCTGTGAGATTTTTAGGAGGCAGGGGGGAGTGGCCACCCGGTATCCATAGATACTGGCTGGCAGCAGCTTTTCTCTGAAGTTGGGCACTCTTTGGCCCCAGGCTCAGCGTTCCTGGTTGGAGGAGGGTGGAGTGGGTCCTGGAGAGCAGACATCTCTCTAGCTAGCTGCCAGGCGCTCCAGGAGCTTTGGCCAGCTCATCCGTAATGACAGGTCCCGGTTCTCACAAACTGAATTCTGCACAGCAGCCTGCATGGCTCCAGGAACCCACTAGGGTTAAGGCCCTCCTTTAATGACCAGGTACAAGTGCCAGTTCACACACACCCTCTCATTACCTCCTGAATTTGTCTGGAGGTCGAGCCACCCTAGACATTTCACAAGTACGTGTGTCTTAATGCAGAATAAAACAAGCAATGTGCCCCAGTCAACCTGTCCCATCCCACAAATACACCTACTATGTGCCAGGCATTCTTGATACATCAGTGGACAAAAATGATCAAAATCCCTGGCCTCTCAGCACAGATGTTGTCAGTGCAGTAATTACTCAATGACCAAAAGAAGTTTAATCATTTTCCTCCCACTTTCCTGCCACCCACATCCTGGCCTTTCAATCTCCCAAAAAGCTGGGTGTCTTCGTTTAATCCTGTTAGCTTGACAGGGACAGTAAAATCCTTTAGCCTGCGCGCCACCGACACTACCCAGGTGCAACCCAATTCTCTCCTGAACTCGACTGTGGCAGAACATCTTTCTCCAGCTTCCAAAAACTTCAAGTGACGTGAGGCTCCCCCAGTTGCAGCCCTGGAGGACAACTAAGGGGTAATGGAGGAGATCGACCAGGGCCCCCTACCCCGGAGTGCGCCGGGGAGCGGCGCGCGCGCGCAGTACTCACCGAGGAGCCGGCCCAGAACGGGCACGAGTTCTTCACCTGCGGAGAGCTGCTCAGCGACAGCGCCCCGAAGCTGAGCGCCACCATGCAGCAGCCCAGGATCAGCTGCAGCAGCCCGAGTGACAGCAGCGGGCGGGCGGGCAGGAGCGCGGAGCCCGGGGCGGCGGCGGCGGCGGCGGCGGCGGCTGCTGCCCGGCGGGAGGAGAAGGCGGGCGGCGCGGCCAGCACCCCGGCGGCAGCTGCGGCCGCGCAGCGAGGCCGCGCCGGGGGCTGCAGCGCGCCCCGGGGCCAGCGCGGCCGCAGCGGGGGCAGTGGCGGCTCCTGGGCGGCGGCGGCGGCGGCGGCGGCGGCTCCCGGGCCCCCGGCCTGCGGCCCACCCGAAAGCCCAGCCACGGGGCAGCAGGAACCCGGGAGCACCACGGGCAGGGACATGGACGGACTGGGAAGGGAGCGGCCGGCGGCTGCTGGGAGGCAACGCGGAGCGGAGCCGAGGGCGCCGCACACTGGGCGCCGCGGGCGGGCTCCGAGGCCGAGGGGGAGGGAAGGAAATGCGCACGGCCCAACCACTTGCTGCCGCCGCGCTGCCCTGGCTCCAGCCGGCCGCACCCACCTGCCGCCTGGCGGGTCCGCCTCCCGCTGGCCCCTGGCGCACCCTCACTTGCACCCACGCGCACCCCGTGCTCGCGCTGCGCCGGGTCCCCGCCGAACCTGCGCCGGGTCCCCGCCGAACCTGCGCCGGCTTCCTGGGGTCCTGGGAGGGTGCCCTGCCCCAAATATTTAAATAAGCCCCTCAAGCTAGGAGGCACCCCACGGCCAGGACGCGTCAGAGCCGGCCACCGACGGTGTCAGCGTCTGTCCCCACCCACCGAGCTGGGGCTAGAGAAGAGCAAGCAAAGCGCCGTGGACACTCGGGCCCCTTCACGGTCCAGGTCCAGCCACAAGAGAGACCCTGGCGCACTCTAATGAGAAGGGAGCCACCCCTTAAACTTTTGCCCCCATAAGGAAGGGGATGTCTGGAGGAGGGACTTGGGGGGCGACTCGACGGCCAGAAGTGTAAGCCGAGGAATTTGGGAAGGACGACGCCGAGCTCAGTTACCGCTCGCAGGGCGCAGGACTTGCCTGGCCGCATAGGCGCAGGGGTGCTTTCCCAGCACCTCGGTAGGAGCGGGAACGAAAGGACAGGGTTACCTTGGAAGCATCCAGCATCCGTAGAGAAAGTACCCGGGGCAGCCCGGAGCGCATGGCAAGAGTTACTACTCTCTGTCCTCTCATTGATTCATGAGCTATATCAGGCATCTATTAGGCATCACCTGGTAGAACACAGAACCCCCAAACTTCCGAGGAAGTATCCTCATAGTGTTGTATTTGACCTGAGCGTAGAAAGTTATCACAAGACAAAAGTATGCCAGGTTGCAGGGTCATTTATTATGCCGGCGACCACAGAGGACTCACGTCTCTCTAACCTGTGGTGGCAACAGGAGGGTGCCACGATTTTTTATACCCGAAAAACCACCTTGGGAGTGGGGGTGAGGGGCGGGGATGGGGATGAAAAGGCTTCAGACATTCCGAGGGCTAGTGGATTCTGTAAATTACCTCCTGGGCAGAGATGAGGGTGGGGGTCTCCGGACATTCCAAGGGCCAGGGGACTTTTGTCATTCCGTTTGTTACTTAAGTGGTTTACAGAAGTCAAGATAAACATTTGTTTACACATTATCTGGTTAAGGTGGAAATCACAGACCTTAGTTACTTATTACAAGTCGCAGGAGCCAAGATGGCATGGGTTAGGACTGCTTGCCTGTCACATTAGGGCCACAGAGAGCAGTTACTGATAAGAAAAGGTAAGCAGCTTTACATAGTTTTGAAGAACAAACTAACAGATCTATTTACAGAGGCCAAGGACAGTAGTTATTGTGAGGAGAATGGGGCAGCCATTTCAACTTATCTAAAAACAGTTTTGCATTTTATAAAATAGTTTTGCTCGGGTTCTGGCTCTAGGCCAGCACAATATCACAATAGAATCCTAAGCTACTCTGCTAATTTATGAGAAATCTTTAGAGCTTAAAAAAAAAAAAAATTATTCCTCTTTGCAAAATGAATTTTCTTAATAGCATACCTTTTCACCTCAGAATAATTCTAATGCGTAGAAAGTTTCATGCCTAAAATGATTATAATGGACTTTCTTTCCTGATAAGAACCAGAGCAGTGTTCTTTGCAGTTAGTCAGTTACCGTCTTAGAAAGCCTGTCTTATCATAAGGTTAGGGTATTAACATCCTCCTACCCAATAAACCAAGAAAAGCGTGTGTCAGTACTTATGCTCTGCATGTGGAAGCTGTATTTATATTGCTTGTTACTTTAACCCATAATGTGATACACTATCAATGTGCCCAAATTTACGTATACACTTCTTAAATTATTAAAGCACATGTCATTAATGGTGCCTAGGACTTCCTTTAGAGACTGCTCCCATGAATAAATTCAAATTCTGGAGGAAAACTGAAATGCCTTTCAAAATAAGTGTTTAAAGTCTGTTGATTCGTGCACTTTCAAAAAATGCCTTACAGTATATGCTCTGAAATTGCAGCTGATGTTAAATTAAAAGCGTCTTAGAGCTGAGGTTATACTCTATTTTATATACAAGCTTAACAGTATTTAATTTTTAACAATGTATTACACCTTGCAATATAGTAAGTCTGACTGAGTCTTAAGAAATTCTCTCAGCTAAACAAATCTATTTCATTGGCCAGTTCCTGACACCTGAAACTTACTATTAAAAATGTATTATTTGTGTCTAAGAATGTTGCTGTTAGAAGTCAGGGTATCCTCTGGCCCTTGCGGAGGGACATGATTATGACTGGAAAGCAGGTTTCAAGGGGTGCTGGTGACTATTTATTTCTTGATGTAGGTACTAATTACATGAATAAGGTTCATTTTGTGAAAATTCATGGAGTTACACTTATGATTTGTGTGTGTCTCTGTGTATATATTATACTTAAATACTTTAAAGTATTTCCAAGTATTTTATTCTTAACATTTTTAAAGCCTTTTTCCCCATGCAGAAACAGATGATAGCAAAATAATTGAAATTGATGATTATATCATCTTAGAGGCTTTACTCATAACATGACTAACCTTTTACAAAGCTACTAAGGGATGTTGTATAGTCATATTTTTTTTTTTTTTGTTATTGGCCACATTTATAACTGAGTTTCTTTTTCTGATTATAAACACAAATCTATGTAACACTACCCCAGCCTTTAAAATTATGCCAATAAAAAGCTCAAGTATTTGGGCTTGGGATTTTTGTAACAAACTTGATTCTTTGCGTCTCCCAAACACGGCTTACAATAAGTCTTTAGTTAGACCTGAGCAAGCTGTATGTAACTAAGCTCTTAGAGGATGATTCAGAGCCATTGATTTCCATTTGTCTTAATTAAAAAAAAAAAAAAAGTGAAGACTTTCTAAAACAGCCTGGCAATTTCTCAAGAAGTCAAGCATAGGGATGTTATTTGACCCACTTATTTCACTCCTAGGTATATACCCAAAAAACATTAACATAATCACACGAAAACTAGTGCACAAATAGCAGCATTATTCACAACAGCCAAAAGGTGAAGCAATGCAAGTGTGAATCAACTGGATGAATGGATAATCAAAACATAGAATATGCAGCCAATGGAATATATTCATCAGGAAAAGAGGAATGAGGTGCTCATCTATGCTACAACATGTAGAAACCTTCCAAATATTATACTAAGGTTCAAAATATCACATGTACCCCATAAATATGTACAACTATTATGTATTCATAATTAAAAATTTTTAGACATTATGTTTTTTTTTTGTTTTGTTTTGTTTTTTTTTTTTTTTTTTTTTTTTTTTTTTTTTTTTTGAGACGGAGTTTCACTCATGTTACCCAGGCTGGAGTGCAATGGCGCGATCTCGGCTCACCGCAACCTCCGCCTCCCGGGTTCAGGCAATTCTCCTGCCTCAGCCTCCTGAGTAGCTGGGGTTACAGGCACGCGCCACCATGCCCAGCTAATTTTTTGTATTTTCAGTGGAGACGGGGTTTCACCATGTTGACCAGGATGGTCTCGATCTCTTGACCTTGTGATCCACCCGCCTCGGCCTCCCAAAGTGCTGGGATTACAGGCTTGAGCCACCGCGCCCGGCTTTAGACATTATGTTAAGTGAAAAAGCCAGTCACAAATGACCACATATTATATGATTCCATTTGTTGTCCAGAATGAAGAAATTTGTAGAGACAAAGTAGCTTACCCGCTGCTTAGGGCTCAGGAAATGGGGAGATTGCGGGGGGATGATGGCTAAAGGATATGTGGATTCTTTTTAAGGTGGTAAAAGTGTTCTAAAATTGATTATAGTGGTGACTGTACAACTCTGTGAATGTACTAAAAACCAGTGAATTTACACTTTAATGGGTAAATTGTAGAGTATGTGAATTATATCTCAATAAAGCTATCATCGAAAAATTTAAAAATAAGTGAAGAAGAACCTGTGAAAAATTTGCCCCAGATTCTTCATTAATGTAGGCCAAAGTTCAAGGAAACAATAGCTGTAGTGAGTTGTTTGGTAGAACCCAGCTGCCAGTTTTCTTCAAGATCAAAGCTGAGCTCCAAGCAGGTTCTGTACACCTTTCACCAATGCTTCCCCTCACCGTCCCTCATTTTCTACTCCTTGCACTAGGAGCCTCCTCCACTGAGGAGTTCAGGCTTTTTGCCCAGATTTCTTGGACACCAGGTTCAAGCGATTCGCCTGCCTCAGTCTCCTGAGTAGCTTGGATTACAGGCGCACGCCACCACTCCTGGCTAATTTTTGTATTTTTAGTAGATACGGGGTTTCACCATGTTGGTCAGGCTGGTCTCAAACTCCTGACGTCATGATCCCCCAAGGATACCTTTAAACAAACTCCTCAGCTCCTTCCACACTTCTCAGAAGACCCCAGCTGTCAGCTAATTAAAGGAGTCTGTTCCACATCAGAGTGAGAGCTGCCGAAGAAACTCTTTTCTTAAAACCTCTTCCCTGGCAAGATCTTCCAGGTGTTATATTTTGCAAAAAAAGGAAGTGCTTCTCTGAATTAAGGCATAGCAGACTCTAGAAGGCTCAGTTAATATGGTGGCTGGAACAGCTTCTCAAACTGTGCTCCACAGACCACAGGACCATGCCAGGGCGGGGAAGGGGAATGTCAGGTTCATTCACTTCCACCCACACATGTGGGATTAGATACTCTGGACTGAAGGCCTAGAACCTGCGTTTTAACAAATGTAAAGAAACATTAGCAGATGGTACTATGTAGACTCCAGAATTTTTATATGGGAATGCTTATATGGGAGAGGAAGGTGGGGGATTTGGGTTGAAAGCAAACATACATGTAATATGTTGGTGGGAGGGCTTTGCTGGCCCCCAGTGGGGCTCCACTGCCCAGGTGATCTTTATGCACAGGAAGGAGTTAAGACTACTAGATTCTAATGGGAAGGGCACTGCAGGA